AGAGAATATGTGAATTGCAGAAGAGCCACAAGCCTCATTAGGGAAAGCCATAAATCCCTTAAAGTGTCTAACTGGCCCTAAATTAGCAGCCTGGCCTTGATGAAGACTTATCAACTCCTCACTCCCTGGACTGGGAGAGACTGTTCATGGCACCCACCTGTCTCCTTTAGTGCTGTAGGAAACTCACCTGCCTATCTGAGAAAAGAGACCCTCAAGGACACCAGACCCTGGCATGGAGTTAATTCTTGCAGCTGTGTGCAGCAGAGTGCCTATGTAAGGCCCGGCTACTCCCCGTTCAGAGTACAGATAATCATTCCTCGAGGAACATCTTTTATCAGCCCTTTGCTAGGCTTCCTAAATCCAGGGAGCACATTCCTTACCTGTTGCAGGTCTTGCTCTGGTTTTAAATTCCTTCCTTTATCTGCTTTCCTAAATCTAACAGATAGTGTTTGTCTATACATGACATTCACTTTGGTGCTATCCCATTAAAGTGATTGCTTATCTCTTTAGATTTTACATTTCCCCCTTTAAATTTTTTGTCAAACATATTCCTTGCCCATCTGTGCTATTTTACTTTCTTGGAAATAATAAAATATAGCTTAAAATTACCCTGGAACTTTAGGTAACATGAAGATACCTTTTGCTCTTCTGGCTGACTTCCACCCCAATCCTCATACATACCCTTACAGATTTCATAACAGCCAAATAAATTTCTAGCAATAAACCAAAAAGGAGAATAAATCAGTGAATTATAATTATTATTATGAAAACTTATGCAAGGATTAGACTTGGTATAATGGTACATACATGTAATCCCAGCATTGAGAGGTGGTGGAGGCAGGAGGATCATGAATTTGAGGCCAATCTAGGGTTACATAGTTGACTCTATCTCAAAAAGCAGAGGGGGGGGGCAGAGCTGACACAAAATTCATGGCATTCACATATATTCTGGAATATGTGAGATGTCCATCAATAGTATCAAACATTAACAGTTAATAGATTAGAAAAGTAGAAAGAATTAGTCACTATAAAAATGAGAAAATACATTGTAATAACATAATGAACATGGCTCAAGTTTTGGAGAGGCAGTAGCTAGTATTCAGAGGGTCATCCACTATATCTTAAGAACCTGATAACAGGCTGTTTTAATTTACCAGAAATAATGAAAAAGTTCATTGTACACTGTTCATTCGTTCATGTAAACTATGAACATCAGATAACACAGTAGACTATTCAGGGACTAAAACAAAAGCAAATAAAATCTAGTGATGATATGAAATAAATTAGTTTGAATAAAGTTTTAAAGACCCAATTTCTCAATCAATTACACATAATCCCTAATGTAA